CCCAGTGAGGCCACCACTGAAGTTGTCCTCCTAAACACTGCAATCCTCAAGGTTTTAATATGCACAGAAACAACAGGCAAGTTAGCCAAAAGGGAGACTCCAACTAATAAATCAACACCCTCCCAAGCTCCTGTCATGCTGGCACCTCCTTCAGCCTATCCAGGCACATCCAGAGGCAACACCAACAGGAATTCTCTCTTCAGCAGTGCAGGAGCCACCAGCACAAGGCATGAGCGTTTCCATGCCAGTTCACGGCCAACTCAAGCCTTCGGTACCTTCATTAGTGACGACAAAAGAAGCCCTAAGGAGCAGGTTCCCCTTCTCTTGCTTGCTGGTGGGAAGAGGCAGCAAGTTTGCTGAACCTGGTCATGATGCTCAGCCGAAAAGCAGAGTAATGGGGAGATGCATCCCCGGTTTGTTCCTCTGCAAGAGCCCACCACAGCACCACCAGCCCCACAGCACCTCCCTGCCACGCTCATGACTGATGCTCATTTATCTCCTAGTGGCTGATGAGCCTTTAGCACTCGGGTTTGGTGCAGATACTTCATGGTGCTGGAGGCTGCATTTTTGGGCCAGTTCATATGGTTTGAGCAACTTGCAGTTCCCCCTGCTCCCCCAGCACAGCCCTGGGGTGCCAATGAACAGCATCGCTTCCCCCACTGTCAAACTGCCCTTTCTTTCCCAGCCCCAGACCCTTTCCAGACCACATTTCTCCCATTTTTCAGTTCCCCCACAGGACCCTTAGACTTTCCCTTTCCTGTGGTGCACCCTGCACTGGCTAAGTGCCACCCTCACCCCCTGAGCAGCATCACTCTGGCTTCCTGGGGACACCACACACACCAAATCTGCTGCTGCCAGAGCTGCTTTGCGACTGGTGCTTCCCAAAAACTGCTGCCTTGGCCAGGAAAAACTACTTCAGGTCCAGAGCATTTTCCTGATAACAGAAACCCTGGAAAACAAGCCAGGCACCAGCCACACAGCATGGTCTCTGTGGGAACAGCAGACTAGGGGAGGATATTCCCTTTCTGTGTCGAAGAACAGGCTCCTTCCCCAGCCACAGAAATTCAGCCTAAGAGTTTTCAAAAATGACCAGCTATTGTGGGTGTCTGCTCCCTACAAGTGCCTTTATTTCCAGAAAACAGATGTTTCTTGCACTCAGGGAGTCAGCCTGAAGCCAGACAGCCACAGAGACCCCAAACCACTTCTGAAAATATCTTGGCATCCCGGATGAGCAAGGGCTAAGCAGTTCAGTGGGCAGGAAAACCCCACAGCACTCAGCCTGCTCTGATCACCCCATCATCCCAGCTGTGTTTCATCAAATAGTTTCCCTACCTTTGCCTCATAAACCTTGCAATTGCCACTCAGAGCTACCAAGGACACCTGGTGAACAGGAGCCTGGTGGCAGTAGACAGGCTTTATCCATCACCCACCCCTTCTCCTGAGCATCACTGCCTCCCAACAATCCCTTTTTCCAGAGAGCATCCTTGCAAAGCACGAACCAACCCTTTCAGGACAAAGCTGCCCAAAGGGTAGCTCAGGTAAAGGCGGAGAAGGACAGAGCAGCTTTTGGAAAGGTCTGCTAGAAAGCAGATACTGCATATCTTTGCTCCAGCCCATAAAGAGCTTAAAAAGCCAATGTGGTGGCAGTGGCAACACACCAAAGCCCATTGCTATGGCCTCAGCTCCAGCTCTTCCCTTGCCTTCCCCTTGTCCAGCCTCTTGCGACACACCAAGGCACCAGTTCTGTTTGTGCAACTCTTGTTTATGGCTGGGACCACAGCTAAGCAAACATCTGCAAGCCAGCCAGTGCCCACTCACTGCTCTGGAAGTGGAAACCCAGCACGGAACGTCAAACAAGCGTGTTCTGAATAACCCAGGCCCTGCCCCAGCTTTCACAATAGAAATTAGTCACGGCACACCAACAAGAGCAGTAAATCGGGCAACAAGAGATAATGTTTGCAATGGAGACCTCACTTGTCCTCTCTTACACACCCGAGACACCCCTTTCCTTTGGACCCTGCCTTTCCAGGCCCCTTAGAGGCACAGAGACCCTCTGCTCCTTTGCAGTTTGCTTCAGATACCAACTGCAGCTCAGGAAGTCAGAGAGCACCAACACCCAGTCCCCAAGAGCATCCCAGGCTTTCCAGCCAAATTTCAGGATGGTTTTGTCCACCTATATTGACCACTGGAGTGTTTGACCGTACAAACAAGGGCTCCAGAATGGCTCAAAGGTGCCTTTTAATATTTGGATACTGTGGGATTTGGGACTGAAAGAGGAGGCAGGAGGCCATGGATCAACCATGGCTTTGGCAACATGATGAACTCTACCAGCGCAGCTGCAATGTGTTACTTGAGTAACTTTTGCTGACTTTCTGTATTGCCCAAAGTAACTGGGAGAGCAGTGGTTAGTTTTGTCAGTCTCAAGTGCATTTACTTCAAGGCCTTTGCTGAGAGACCAGGATCCATCACCAAACCAGACCTTCACACCAGCAAACATCTGCAGCACAGGCCTGACCTAGGCCCACATCTGGCTGCTGAGCACAGTGGCGTTACCTTGTGAAACACTGGCAGGTCAGTACTTGTAGGAGGGCTTGGTTACGAGCGAGTTCATTTATTATCAGTTAACTTGGCATCACTATTCGTGCAGAAGGCCAGCCTGGACACTTCCTGGCCCTTTGCTGCATGCTGCAAATGCCAATGTTCTACTGGAGAAGCAGAGAGGAGACCAAATACATAGGAGATTGAAGATATACGTAAGTTTTACATCTTTTTAAAGGGAAAAGGAGTAGCAATATGAGAGCTGAGAGGGTAACAGAAACAGACAAAAGCAGGGGTGCTGCAGGGTTACCCCTACAGGGTATGTCCTTTGCACACCACACAAGCCACCCTGCCACTGGAGCTGGGCTGGGCAGGACAGGGAGGGGAGGCCTATGGCACTGCTCAGCTGCAGAAGCAGAGACCTCCTCTCTGTAAATATTCCCAGGCAGGGAAAAAGCCAGCAAAGGGCCACATTCGTGACAGTCCCGGGCAAGGGAGAGCAGGACCTTCCAGCCTGCCTGGTGCAGCAGCAGGGCTGCAGGAGCTCTGCTCTCCTGCAAGCTACGGTGGACTTTGGCACATGCCTCTGCCCTAGGGAAAAGCACAGATACGTGCAGCTGAGAGCACCCCATCCCAAAATGATTTACATTTGCAACATACGGCAAGGGGAGAAGCAAGGGCAGGACGGGGTGTGGAGGGAACAGGCAGAGCTCTGGCACAAGCAACCAGTGCAGCAACTCGAGTATTGTCCACTAGCTGCACTGGCAAATTTGCAGAATCCCAATCTCAATATTCAGAGCCAAGTTCAGAGCAAAGGGAGATAGGCACAAAAAGCAGGGACAATCTGACTACCAAGGAAAGTTACAGCCACCGCTGAAAGCAGATTGGGCAATTCCAGCATCTAGAGGATGATAAAACAGAACAAAAGAGAAGCTTAAAAACTAATCCCTGAATAACTGCTTCTAAGACCTGTTGAAATCAGTGCCTGCATCTTGTTTGCTAATGGACCTGTCAGCAGCTTCTTAGGCTGCAGGAGTCATGGTAGGAACAGAAATTGACACTTTGTTCTCGGGTTTGATATCCCCTCTGCCCACTAAGTGCTTTTGATGTTTTCAGTTTAGGCGTACTCAAAAAGCTCTTGTGAGCAAAGGATGGGCAAAGAATTTTACCTCAGCCTCCCTCAGCCATCAGCACAGGGAAGAGAGAAAAACATTTCTTGTGATTTTAATAGAGCAGACATTTCCACAGCCCAAAATCAGGGATGCTGCCCGCATGTACCAATCCCATAGGACACACTGTGCCTCCAAACACTGGACCAATGGGCACTACATAGACAGCATCAGCCCAGTGCTGCATCTCTGCCACTTCAGCTTTCAAATGCTTCAGAAAAAACATTTGAAAACCAAGACATGAATCTCCTACACAAACCTTTGGACACAATTCCAACAGCTGGAGAGGCCAGTAGATCTTGAAGCAACAGATCTAACACCCCATCCAAAATGCTCTTTACCACAACTGACTACATTTATCAAACTGCCTGAGCATCCACTTCAAGTTTGATTCAGTTTTGGTTTCTGCACTATCTGCTGTCACCAAGTCTGTTTTATTGACTGTATGTGATTCACCTGCACTCTGCTGTTGAACATGTGTGCTGCCTCCATCAGGAGAGGGGATGGAGCTACTGCATTTGCTCCCTTATTTCTCTCTCTTTCCCCATCAGGAGTCCTACGATCATTTCAGACCAGAGGAACATCACAGAATAGCTGACGTTGGAAGGCACCTCTAGAGACTGTTTTGTCTAAGCTCCTGCTCAGAGAAGGGTCACCCCCAGCAGGCTGCCCAGGACCACATCCAGTTGGGTTTCGAATCTCTCTAAGGACAGAGACTCCCCTCAGCAACTTGTGCCAGTGTTCAAACAACCTCTTAAAAAAACGTTTTAAGTAGAATTTCCTGAATTTCAATTTATGACTATAATCCCATCATAGAGTACCAATGAGAAGTGTCTGCTCTACTCCTCCACCAGGCATTTATGCACAGTGGTAAGATTCCCCTGAGCCTTCTCCAGGCTGAACAATCCCAGCTCTTGCAGCCTCTCCTCATGACAGAGGCTTCAACCCCTTTATTATCTTTGTTCACTGGATCCGCTCTATTGCAGCCATGTCTCTCTTTCACTGGGGAGCCCAGCACTGGCAACAGAACACCAGATGTGTCTCATCACAGCTGAACAGAGAGGAATAACATGGTCATTTTTGAACACAGCTCAGACAGAATTTTCAGGCCTTGACATTTTCGCATGAACACAGCTTTGCTTCCTACAACGAACAGGAACACTTTCAAAAACTTTATCCCATCTTTATATTTTCTCCAAAATAAAAAGGCATTTGTATCATTGAAAACAGTAACAGGCCCCTTCTCTTTTCTGAACAAGCCATATAAAGATAAATAGAGTAAAACACACAGTTCTGGGATTTAAAAGGATGAAAGCCTCTCCTAGGACTGACTTATAAAAAAAAAAAAAAACAGCCCCAGACTGAACACACTCTGCTTCAGGATGGGTCCCTCTGACACTTCTCAGTGGCCTCAGATAGTCCATTTCTCTGTACGAGCTTCCACACTTTTGACCAGGCCCTCTCCCAGAACCTTAAAGTCCTCCAGAATTGCCTCCACGTTGGGAACACAGACTGGTTCATTGTTCAGAGTTGTCACCATCCTTCCTTTCATGTTGGAGACCTGCAGGACACACACAAACATTGTACTAAGAGGAGCAACCGGTCAGAGCTGCTTCACAACCTACACAAGCGCCAAACAGAGGTAAATTGCCCTCCTGTCCTGTCACATCCAACCCCTGCCACACCACTACACCCAATTTTCTGAGCTTCACTTCTCAACACCATCATTGCTCTTTATTAGAGCTAATAAACTGCAAGGGTGACCCTTCCAGCCCCTTTTAGAGTTCACCCTGGAGCCACAGTCCAAAGATCGCAAAGGAGGAAGAGAAGAAGCAGCCAGGGGCAATGGTGAAGATGGGCAAAGAGTGTGTGGGGCCATGGTGGAGCCTATATAAGCAGAGCAGATGGGGTATACAAAAGGGACCACACCATGATCCCGAGTAAGGGCTCCCTGGGGCTCTGCTCTGTTGTTGGCCATCAAAACTTTGAGGGGGAAGAGACCCTGGGTTCCACCAGGTTAAAAAAAAAAAATCTTATGTTTAATCAAGGCACACTCAGTTCAGATGCAAGCATCTCCTCTCATTTCACCACTCTGAATAACTGGGTTTCACAACTGCAGTTAGGCTGAATGGCCAATGCCCTCTGGCCATGAAGAGAGGGGAGATAAATCACCAACAGACTGACAGAAGAAGAGTCTGGGCTGCCAGCTCTGAGCCATGAGTCACCAGTTTCTTTGCGTCTTTCCTTCATAGAAAGCAGCATGAATCACTCCAGCGTGCCTCACACCTAGCTTAACCACCCTTGAGACTTTTCCAACCCACACAGTGTAGCTGGAAAATATCTCCATACATCGACAGGACTTGGGCACTATGAACCTGGGCTTGCCACACCAGCTTCTTGCAGGTTGGGTATTTCTGAGTAAGACACCCAAAGCCATGGGAACGGGACAGCCTGCCCCATACACCAAACATCTTTGACAAACGAGGCATTGCCCATCTCCCAGAAGAGGGCCAAAGAAGAGCACCAGGGACAGAGAGCTCTGTTCTGACCCATGATCATGGTGTGCTGGGGCTTGTCCAGGGACAGATGTTCCCTTCTTAGCTCTGCTGATGACTGGGGGCACTGTGGCCACAGTCCTATATTGGTTTCACCTTTTCTAAGAAGGGAGAGAAGCATGAGCTCCATATCTCAAAGGCCTTTAGGGCTGATAAGAGTTAGACAGAGCAATTACAATGCAGAAAAAAAAGCCCTCCAAGCTTCAAGGGCATAGAGGTAACATGAAGCTTATAGTAGAGTCAAAAACTCACCTTAAAAGGCTGAGGTTGAAAGCTCAAAGGTTTCCACAAAACTGCAATAACTTCTCCACCGTGCTTGTCATAGAAGAACAAGGCAAGATCGCTGAATGCATCCTAGAGGAGAAAAAGAGAGGTTGTGCCATACATCCCAGAGCCAGAGCGCAACCCTGATTCAGTCTCCTTGCACTCTGACACACAGTAGCTCTGCACCAGCCAGGACCTAAGCTGCAACCTTTTCAGTGCATTCCCAACAAGAAAAGAAACTGGCAGCCCATAGACAAGTCCTGGGTGCCTCCTGCTGCCTCCAGCCTTGATGGATACGGTGTGCTGCCTCCATTTTTAGAGACCTCATCGCTGACTACCTCATGCTGTCCCAGTGAGCAAGAATATGGTGCATCACCTCCCACCGGCACCTAGAAATCACCTAGAATCAGGACACTGGACACTGTAAGCGACAACTAAAAGTGTTCCTCACCATGGTCCCCTATCAGCTGGATCTACCAAGCTGTTCTATTCCAGTGTCCAACAGCTATACCCAAGATTTCACAGTACATCAGACAGCAAGAGGCAGGCCCTGCCCAGCAGGCAACTCAGCCACAGTGCAATACATGGCAGCAAAGACAAACCCCAGTCAAGGACCTTTCTCTGGAGGGCAGCATCTCAAGCTCTGCAATATGGGCAAGTTATCAAAGCTTCTTCCCCCAGGACAAACCCCACGTGTGCTGTCAGCACACAGCATCCCAAAAGGAAACGTAAGACCAGAAATTTTAAGTAACACAAGGTCCTGTGAGGTGCAGAGATGGAATGTTCAATGGAGGCACTGCAGGAACCTGCCCTTCTTGCCCTGTGTTTCAGCAGCTGTGTCAGTGAGCAGCTCCTTTGGTGGTCATGGGCAGGAGAGTTCAAAAAGAAATCTTGCATAAGTTGATGACTGAAGTCCACAGTCTGGTTTTCTCTAAGCTCACACAAGCTGGATTCCCAGTGCTGTGAGAAGGCAGGGGATGAGCATTGCAGAGAAGTAAACAATGCTGTGTGCAAACAACTTTTCCAACCCAAAAGTCTGGCCCTACAGCTCAGAACCCAACACGCTGCTACCAGGAGATATGCACCCAAGTCAGCCAAAAAACTGCTCCCTGACACTTGTTCATCTTGGTAGAGATTAACATCCTTCTCCTCCATCCCTTTTGGTTTCCCCGGCTGCAACTCAGCCACACTTTTACAAAGAGAGGCCTCTGATGGCATCATTGTATCGTGAGGTCTTCATGAGGATGTGCATGAAAAAAATCAAGGGCAAGGTCAGAAGGGGTCTGGTATGGACATAACAAGATTGCAGTAAGAGCAGAAAAACATGAATTGGGTTGGTATTACCAGTGATCCCAAAGCGTGAGGCGGCATTTTAAGAGTAAAGACCTGATAAGCAGGGAGGGGTGGTGTTGTCTGCAACCTTCAGAGCCACATTTATGAGTTTGGACTTGAAGTATCCCAAAGAGAGGGCAACACGATTAGGCAATCAAGCCAGGAAGATCCTGAGACCTACCAGCTCATCCCATTTCATGGCATCTTCTGAGGGGCGTTATCTTCTTGATCAAGGCATTATCTCATCAAACTGGCTATAAAACCACTGTGTAAAAATACATTGAGAAAGAAGCAACCTGCCCTGGAGTTTTTCAGCTGAGAGGAATGGGTTATGCTCAGAAAACAGTCAAGAGGGAAGACTCCTCCTTTTGCCAAAAGGCAAACAACACGAGGGATGGAAAGCTCAACGAAGGGCAAAGAAGCCCAGGGCACACTGACCACCAACGTGCAGCTTTCTGAACCAAAGGGGAGCAGAGTGTGTGAGAACCTGAAAAAGCCCCGCTACTCTACAGGGCGAGATGCAGCACCACACGATGTACCCTACGAGAAAGGTATTTTTTACAGGCACGTCTTGCTGGACAGGAGCCAGGAGCATTTGCAGGAAAGAATCTCTCCCAGGCTCAGTCCATTTCCAAATAACACCACCATTTACTCTGATACCCAGGCACCTTCTATCCAGACAGTGGGGGGCAGAGGGCAGACGTTAAACATGATGGCATCCAGTTCAAAATCACAGCAAAGGGTAAGCTTCTGCACTTGCACTGCTCCCAGCATCATCCTCATGATAGCGCTTCAGGCCAGCTCCACCAAGCTGTGGAGATGCGCGTTCAGCTCTTGGGAAACTGCAGCATTAACAGGGTCTGCTGTATTAGTCACCACACTTCTGTTTGCACAGAGGCTTGGAGAGTAAAAGCAAACAGTGTTCACCTCCCTTTCCACATCCCATGCTCCATGCCTATTGCCACCGGGCTTGCCTGAGCCTGCAGACACCTTCCTCAAAGGAAAGTTTAAGAGAAATGGGAGAAAAGGCAGGGAGTGCATGTGAACACCTATTCCTTTCTCAAGCTCCTGCATCTTTGGTTGCAATTCAGCTTTAAAGGCCCAGGGAACGCTCTCCCTGTTCAGGAGGATCCTTGCCATCAGCAAAACCAGCTGGTTCCCATCTCGCAGAGATACAGAGGATCTGCAGGCTCAGGGCTGTGATTTGGAGCAGCCTGACAGTCCAGGAAGGGGTACATGGCACCTGGAAGATTAGCTCAAGGTCTGTAAGGAGTCATCTGGGTTGTTCAAATGAAAAGATGGAGAAAGGTGGTGAGTGAAACAATACCCTGACCTCAAATGGGATTACTGGATTAAGCAACTCAGGCTGAAGCGAGAATTTTGCAATGAAGCACTCACTGCTAGTTAAGCAGCTACATTGTGTTGTTCAGGGGTGTTTTTTTGGTCTAACCATTTATCCACTGATTTTTTTCACGGCTCATACTTACACCCAGAGATCATGATCACTGCATCACAGTTGCTGGAAAAAGGAGCTGTCTGCAGAGGTCTTGGCACCCAAAATGCACCTAGCAGCTCCTCCTGGTCCAACAGCAGTTCAAGTGGCAAATGTACCACTCAACATTGGCTCAGTGCTTAGAGCATTTTAAGTGCTCTCAGCAAGGGATCTACCAGTATAAAACCCTATTAAAGCTACCTAATTCCAACAAATTACTACATTTCTGATTAACACTTTAAAGGCCCTTGTCATCCTATTGCAACACTGATGCTCACAGGTTACGCGATACAGAGAGAGACTTTCACCAAGCCTAGAGGAAGGAGCACCATCGACAAAACCAGGCTGGGGTGACTTCAGTGTCAGAAGGATTTTAAAAGAGAAAAGAAACCTGGGTGTTAGGTTTGGGATTCACCTGGTAAAAGGTATTTCAAGCCATCCAAACTCTTCTACCTCCAAGTGCCCCATCAGAGCCACATGCGCATCCTTATCCTGGGGTTTGGGGCAGCAGCAGAGAAGTATGGCACAGAAAAAAGCCACCCATGTTCTCCTGGCTGCATTAGCAAACATGCCTTGTCCACCAACCCATCTGAGATTAAAGTCTTCAGTTGCTTCCTATCCATGAATCCAAGGCAGACCTCCAGGAGGGCATCAACAACACAGGAAAAATGTAGCCACAGGTACCCTCTGAGTTCACCCAAGGAGCACAAGGGGCTGATGCTTTGATTTGCATTTACGTGCATGCCTGTGGGCATATGCACACAAAAGTGCATCTACCCCCAATCCCGGGCACTGCACTAAGGGTCATGTAGCTGCTCCGAAGCTGCAAGAGCGGGGAATTTCCTGCCACCTCTGCCTCTCCAAGGGCACAGATCCAGGCAGAAAGGTTTCCCCCATGCTACAGGAGCCCACAGAGCTTTTCCAGTTCATCTCTGCCTGTTTGGAAGTCTTCATAGGAGTTAGGTCTGTCAGACAAAACAGGAAGGGAACAGTCTGACCTGAAAGGATTTCACCAATTCCAGCTACCTCCCGTAAACACAGCTGATATATTTTAAGAGACCAAGAACTTGCAATATCATTAATTCCTTTCTAACATGCAGTAGCAAGATACACATTCCTTCACTGTGGGAGGAAGAAAAGAAAGGACTGTAAATCTTCCAGACAGCTCTCTCCTGAAGGTGCAAGAAATGCAAAACATTGATTTAGAGGGAAGGATGTTTACAGTAAAGCAGGAAACATTTTCCTGCTCATCTTCACAGGAAAGCTCTCCCAGGGACAAGATGGGCAGCTCCTCTGCCACGAGCTCTCTGACAGACAAGTGCAGCCAGAGAAAGGTAAATCTCAGTGACAGCACTTCGCATTTGGTGACCCACTGAAAGCAAAGGCCTGGTAAGAAGTGTTAGGTCTTTTAACAGCTCTCGTAGACACACAGGTGCACCTGGCATAGGCAGCTTCATCCAATTTTCCCCACTGTGAGAGAACAGCTCTGGACTCTGGGGAAGTGACGAGAGCCTTCGAGCTTTGTGAGCTCCTGAATGTGTGGAGATGGGCATGGCATCCCCAGGACACACTGGATGAGAGCAGATAGATCAACCCTTGAGCTCAAGGACAACCAAGTCACTCCAGAGCAAAAGTTGCACTGACTGAGCCTTCCCACACCACATCCATGGCAAATGGCTGGGGGTTCTGCAGCTCTACAGCCACTGTGACACAAAGCAGCAGTCATGACAGAAATACCACAGCAGCCTCATTTGAGACACCTAAATGGAGAATGCCCACCAGGACAGGATCCAGGATTTTATTGCTGTGGTGCTCAAGACTAAGCACTGGGGAGGCTGGTTGGAGCTTCAGGGAAGCCCTCTCTGCAAGACATCTGGCACCAGCCTTCCCTCAGAAGCATCTGCCTGCAAAGCCTTCTTATCTGCACAGACTCCCAGAACAGGCCTTTTCTATCATAACTGTCCTGGAATTTAAGAATTCGCCATCTGAACCCCACAACCATCCTTTCATCTCTACCCAGAGCCTTCCAGGTACCACAGCAACTCGATCAGACCAGCTCCTGCAGTACATCTCCTTGCAGCAGGAAAAATTAAAGCAGTCAGGACTCAACGCCTCCTCTCCTTTCATTTTCTCCTCTGATTAATCTCCCTGGGGAAGGCACGCATCAATCCTTCAGCTCCAACACTCCTGCCTTGCTAACCCCTTTGATTTGAGAAGAACAGGGACCTCTCAGGAGCAAACAGGTTGGACAGAGAAAAGTGGGTCTCCTGGTTACTGGGCCATGGACACTGGGGAAGATGCTACTCCCTTGCCCCTCTCAGCTCAGTCAATATGCTCAGGCATTTAAATTCCTTCTTCACATGGCAAGCTCAGAAAAGGACTGGTATTTCTTTTCTGCCCATAGAAGAGAACAAAATCCCACAGTGCTGCTGCATGGCAGATGCCTCCCTTCATTGCTATATACCCACCACGGCTGCACTGTCAGCCTCGCCTACAACCCTGTTGCTCAATTCTGTGGCTTGTGCTATTAATGGATAGCTAATTACTCTGAGTCAAAGCCAGACAGTTCTGTGTCCAAGCATCTTCTCATCCAAAATCTCTCATAAGGATACAGTGCTGTCCCAAACTTCTTTCCGGCATCAACGTCCTGCTGCATTTGGACCAACCCCAAGGCTCCCAGCTTTCACGATGAGGATGAGCTGAACACTTCTTTGAGAAGCAAAACCCAGGAAGGAGAAACGCAAAGGTGCTGGAGAGGCTACCAACCAAAGCCAGGTCAAAGCACAGGGCCTGTGCAAAGGTCTTGCCTTCAAGCAACAATACTGGTACACTGAGACACCAAGCTGGATGATTTCTGATGGGGTAGTTTTGACTGACAATATGCATCACCTGCTTGCTGGTAACCCTACAGTGAAAAGTCCACTTTTGAGACCCTCTATTACAGGTGGATGCAGCTGAGTTACTGGAGAGCACGTACAGCATCACCCTCTTTGATTTTTCCAGAAGAAACACTTGTTTGCCCACAAAGAGATATTCATCAGCCCCTTCAGGTCTGCCTGCTACTGATCTGGAAGCTACAGGAGCCAAGTGAACTGGTACTGCAAGATACCTCAAATACAATGGCCACAGGGAAACACAGCCATGCCTATCTCACAGTCTTCAAGAGAGGAAAAGCCCCTCAGCCAGGACTGTCAAGGCAGATTTCAGGCTCTCTACCCCCTAGTTCGTTCTTCAGAGAAACCTGTGACTGGTGCCTGCTCTGTTCCTCCAAAGGGTCAAAGAATGAGAGATACCACATGAACAAAACACCGCTTCCAACAAGGCAACGTGACCTTTCCTTATATCCATGTTTCCTCATTAGGATGTTAGTATATTCGATTTCAGAACAGCTGTAATCTGTAACCCAACCAAACCCTATTCTGAGTCTATTACTACCCATATTAGAGAAAACAGAGCATAAAAATTCAGTTTGGATGTCATAACTGACTGGATCAATTAAGTCATAATTGCTTAAAGGATAATGAAAGCTGCTTTCCAAGGAGTCTCTTCTGCACCTTTCAGTTCTGGAGCCACTTGCTGACACCAAGTTAACTAGAAACTTGAAAAGGTCCTATAACTGCAACACACCCTGATGAGTTTCCTGACCAAGTGCCTCATTATACAGCACGATTTGCTGCAAGCCTGTTAACAGCCTCCCCAGGAAGTCTGCTCTCCCCATCGGCTTGTCCAACAGCCTGCAGCTCATCTTCCAGCATGAAGTCACCTTCCTGCCAGGTCTGTGTCAGTTGCTTAGCCCCAACCCCTCAAGAGACACAGAAGGTCTGATCCTGTGAGTGCAGGCACCTGACAGCTGCTGAAAGGCTCCGTTCAACTCTAACCCGCCCTTCCAGCATGGTGTGGAACTCTCCCAAATACACTCTCTCCTGAATGTGTCCTGTGGGTCCTTCCAGCATCAAAACCACCTTCCTTCTCAAAGGCAGGAGAGCGATGAGCGCCTTCTCTCCCCTCTCTTCTTCTCCATGACTTTCCAGCTAAACAAGCAGCACTACTTTCAGGGAAATTGTGGGACAATTTTGAAGTTTTCCTCCATTTAAAGAGGTCGTGCATGCATACCAATCTCTCTCTTCCTTGACCCCCATGAGACTGTCCCAGCCTGCATTGCGTGACAGTATGGAGCTCCCATCTTGCAAGACCTAGCAGCTGTACTGAAGCCACAGCAGATTCCCATAGACTGGGCAGGTATCAGCACAAAATGCAGATGGCAGGCAGTGTGGGAGGGTTGAGGAAACCTTCAATGAAACTATCCCAAGCTTTCTTTGGCCACCTCCTAAGCTACCTGGGTTAAGGTGAAAGGGGAGCCTGAACTTAAAGGGCCCAGTATCTTCCAGTCTGAACTGGAGTTTTTATTCAAGCACCTCTGCAATTCCTTCTGTGGACCTGGAGGAAGATCTGGCCCTTTCTGCTGTCCCTCCTTGCAGCTGCCATGACTGCCAAGCCTGGCAGTACCAGGTATTGTCCCAGCTTGCTGAGACTTTGGCCTGGCTACACAGTGCAAAAGCACTGGGTTGATAACTTTGGATATGGATGTTCCCAATACACCCACATTACCAGCTTCCTCTGCCATCATGTATGTAACTAGCCCCCAAGAAAAGATCCTGTGACCAATATTCAGTCTCTATGGCTCATGCAACCATTGGCCTAACAGCAGGAGCCCTACTGGTACCATACCCAGAAAATACAGGTAGCTATTGTCCATCATGCAACCCAGTTGGTGCAAGATGCCACAAAAAGTCAATTAATGGACTAGAGACAAATGGCTTAAAGATACTTCTGCACTGAAATATCATATTCTTCAGCAGAAGCTCCAGGTGCTTTGTATTGGAGGTCATTCTCACATCAACAGCACTCCAGTTTCCATGGAACAGGTGACATTTTCACCAGGTCTTCTGCCAAAGAAGTGATTTCAGATGCACACAGAGAGTGATGATCACGTGCAAAATACATACAGATGTCACCAGCTAGGTCCAGCAGTGGCAGGTAACTACTGGCCTGAATGCCAGTAGGCAGCTCCCCCTTAGGCAGGTAGCCTCCTGTGCCTCCCCAAAGGGCCATGCTTACTCTCAACTCCTGGAGGTAGCACTGTGCAGGGTCATAATCCACCACAGGAAACAGGATCTTCACTGCACTGCTGTTCTTCACCACGCCCCGGTAATATGACTTTGGTGGCGGGTCCACACTCTCCAGATGCCGAGGAATCTGTTTTGGATTCAGGTGGATTAGGACATCGTAGAAGTCCAAAGGAGGGCGGAAGACCATCTGCAGGGAGAAAAGACCAGTGTTACTCAATGTAGGACACAGGCAAGCAGAAGAGGTGAGAGAGCTTTCCCAGGTCTTTGCTTGCAGTTTAATCCCTCCTTCTCAGAAAGCAGTACACCAAAGCCAAAATTTTTGTGAGATTATTGTCAGAAGTTTGCCAAAACATTCACAGGAAAAACATAGCCATGGTGGAGCCACAGGGAGCTCCAGCCAATACTGAGACACATCCCTGATCCAGCATGGGCTCTGCTTATATCAGAGGGATGCGACCTTCACTCCTCTATACTTCATGTAAGTGCTGGCACAAGGACTCTGTCAAGAGCAAGGTTGTTCCCCCATGGCTATCGACTGGTGGATAGGCTAAATGTTCTCCAGACCACGAAAGTGCACCAGGAAGGACACACTCAACTGTCACAGCACAACGGTGCAGCAAGCTCAGCCTTTAGAGAAGGGAGATGCTCCCTACCCACGTCAGACATGTATCCAGGACTACACTCTCTTACCTTATT